CAATGTCATACACACATGTGCACACACACCAGCACAAAAATGTATAGATAGGGATGAATTCATTGAATTGAATTTCCATTACCTCTCTATATACACTTAAATACACAAACATGTGATATTGAATACATAATCCTCGAGAGAAATGTTTCATGATGATATCAAAATATTACCATCGAAGATACTAATCCAAAGCGCTGTTTTAAGTTATCATATAATGTATTATATTTATATGTTTATGTGTGTATGTATAATATATAATATATATGAATTAAGTACAAACATTAAACATTAATTTTAATAAATTACGTTAAAGTATGTTCATCAAATTTCAATATTAATGTAGAAACGTTGTATAATCGGTTGTAGAATAATAATGTATATTTTATGTTATAGTATCATGTCCGCGGGTGTTATTATAATATGGGAAGTTAGTAGGTACTATAAATTATACTACTCAAAATGAACAATATTTACGCATATATAGGTACCACTTGTATTATTTAAATAAAAATGACAACAATTTGTAATATTGAAAGACAAAATATTATGCAGTGCATTAAAATAACATYTTTTTATTAGACTACGTATTTACACTCTCTGATYGCGATAAAAACAAAATATATAGTATAATAACAATTATAAATATTTTAATGATGAAGTTTTTCTCTKTATTTTTGTTCYATTGATAGTTGAAAACAATTCTGCTGGCGAGAAAATACCAATAAACGTGACGTTTGAATTTCAATAGATATTTTTACGAACATTAGGGACGAACATGGCTGAGTAAACAATCACAGAAGGGTTAACGATACAAAAATGAACGAATATCAAAAGCACTTTTAAAGGGYGAAAAATAACGGGTATACAATATATATATATATAAAGAGGATCAGAAATCTCAATTCTTYGAGGGTATGAATTTATTACAAGAAAGTGTCTGTTTTCACTTTTCAACTGTAAATCCTAGTTTTTATTTTATGACAAATTTATCGCTTTACATATAGTTTTTTAATAAAATATTTATTTTATTATATTTTCTGTATATACCTAAGCATTTATTTGGACAGAATCATATCATAAAAGAACATTTTTGTTCTTTTTACCTTCCTTCTTGCGATGATTAGGAGCAGTATGCATTTAATACTTGAAGATTTACTTTCACACAATGTTTTATTTTTAAAAATTGTTTATCAYTACAATATTTACTTTAACCAAATAATTGTCAAATCGAATTCTGTACACACTCCAAAAGTTAGAATGTTTTAGATACTCTATTAAAAGTTGATATTGTATATTTATCATTAATCAATCAATTATGTCATTTCGATTACTTTTGATAATTTGATAATTATCCGTGCCAAAA